TGGTACAAGATTTTAATTTAACAAATTAAAATTGAACAAATCATTTCAAACATTTTGAGTGCAAAAAAAGTCAACACATAAAGTAATAAAATGGAGAATGCAGCTGCTGTTGTGGTACAGACCTGCATAACACAAGGGGATCCCCTTACATTTCAACTTGAATGAGCAATGGTTTCTGGGATTTCAAGGGACTACTTTATTATTACAGAAACAAAACAACAACAAAAAACATGGAATGAGTGTTATTCTTAAATGGGATGGCCAGGAAAACACATAGTAATATTTTCTGTGGTTATGTCTCAGCACATCAATGGACATAAAAAGTCAAACCAATATTACTTTACTGAGAATAAGAACAGGAGACACAACCTCAAAAACACTCACACTGTCAACCATCCGATGAGTCAAAGCCCCATCTCCCATATGCTTCATTAATCCTAACTCACTATTACATAACTGTACTAAATGCCCACAAGAGTGGAAGGGTACAACTACTCTCCCTGTATATTGTGCATGTGTGCATGTCTGTATGCATCTGTCTATGTGTGCACAAGTAAAAGACGGTGTGACAGAGAAAGAAAATCTGGTTACATGAATGGTTGTAGAGCTGCTTAGTTTGTAATCCTTTTCTATCTCCTTGCATTTGTGGGCTGTAGGCTGTGTGTGTGTGTGTGTGTGTGTGTGTGTGTGTGTGTATGTGTGTGTGTGTGCGTGCATGCTGCATGTAGAGGCAAGACAGACACATTCTCCCTTAAGGATGATTTTGTGAGTCTGATTTTATTGTTTGTGTGTGTGTGTGTGTGTGTGTGTGTGTGTGTGTGTGTGGTGTGTGTGTGTGTGTGTGTGTTGCTCTGCAGACAGACAGGTTTGGAGATCAGCTGTGAGTCTATGCGCTGTGGCCCACACACACAGACTTTATGCTTGATAGCAAACCCTGCAACAAACTACAGAGCTCCTTTGACATATACACACATGCGTGTACACACACAACAGTTTACTGATGTGCAGAATACAGACTTACGCAAACTGTGATTCTGTGTACATTTAAAAGCAGCTTCAGTTTTGCGAACACACTTGGCATCCACCTGAAAACACATAAAAAGGCACACAGAGCTGGTAGTGCTGATACATGACCTTTATATGTATTTATGCAAGTTTCTACTTGGCACAACAGCATTCTCCTTGTTATGCTTTGTTCTGTGAGCTGTGGAGTCAGACCAGCTTGTAGGGGAACCGCAGTGGCAGCTCTGGCAGTGACAAGAATAAGACCTACTCCATACGTTCTCCTCTTAAAGCCACCATGCAGCACTGCCAATAAGGCCAAGCTAAGAAACCCACACAGCCCACAGTGGCACATGAAATGCATCAGTGAACAGAGCCATTCTGATTGTGGCTCCAAAGGCATCGTGTGCATATGTTGGCAGACGCTTGCAACATGGGAATTTCTAAGAACATATGGTAGCTTGTCACTGGGAAACAGCCTGTGTCAAGATCTAAACACGCTAAGAGCTGTACCGAGGAAAGCCACTGTCTGCTATCTACCATGTACATGGACACACGTCCAGACATGCACGTCACATACAAACACCAACTAATGTTGTGGGCATGTGACTGTGACAGGCGGGTGATACTTGAGTGGGTCATTGACAAAGAAAAGCTTCACTCAAAAGACGTGTACTTGCATGTTTTGTGTTTGTGTGTGTGTGCGCGCGCGCATATGTGTGTGCGTGTCTGCATGTGTTATCCTGCTCGTGTCTGGTGTCGTTTGCCCTTGCCATAGAAAACAATGCTTCAAACAAGCACACAACAATTCTGCCACTGATCATGTGCAAGAGAACCTAAATTAGAAAGACTTTTTTGTTTTTGGGACAAATCAACCAGACATTAGGATTGTTTTTGGGGTCAAATCACAGGAGAACTGCTATCAGTTTCTGCCAGAGGTGATTATGAAAACAATATTTCTAAGCTTTTGTCCTTTCAAGCTCCTGCCACTGTGTTCTTTTTTGGTAATACAAACTCTTTTGAGACAAAACCACAAAGACCCAGATACATGGAAGTGTCCAAAATATTTGAAACAGAACTTTCCACCTGACTGGAAGAAAGAACTGTTTAGATATAATTTTCTTAACATTATTCACCCCTGAGCTACAGTGTCTTCCTCAAAGCTGGACTTTTTTTTTTAAACTAAGCTATGGCTTGAATCTAGAAATTCCAAACTTTTTTTTACACACTGCACCATTCTTACTGCTTAGTGCTTCGCATCTTGACTGATTAATTTAAGTGGCTGAACAACTGCATATATTTAAATAGCTATGTCTCCAACCAGACTCTTAAAAAATGCTTGCCAGGGTGTATCATCTATCTGACCTTTCACTGCTGTGTGAACACCCAAACACTGCTTAGCAGAAAAGAGAGGGCACTCTTCTTGTCTGCTACCTCTGTTGCATAACCTGTCTATAGACTCTACTCTAACATGCCATCACTCTGTTCCCATGGCAACCCCCTCATCTATTCCCATGGCACCTGCCTGCTGTCCCAGAGACACAGGGAGACGTGAAACAATCCAGGTGAAAGAGAGAGAGAAAGGAAAACAGAGAGAGAGACTTGATGCGATTTGATATTTTAAAAAACCTGCAGGAGAGATCAGTTAAAACATAGAAGGATACTTGAGGACATTTTATAGCATTGTTTGTTGTCTTTTCTCAGAGAATCTTTCACTTAAAGAGTCACAACAAGACAATATCGAAAAAAATAGGAATACATGTGGAGAAAATGTCTAAGGATCTCAATAAAGCTAGGACAGAGCAAAACATACTGTCAGTATATTGTAAATGTGGGAAATATTACTATAGACATTCAAGGTTAAGAACCTCAACCTGCTGTCTCTATAGACACACAAAAACCCATGCACACACAAACAGCAGCACATAGAAACGAACCAAAAACATACACTTTTTGATGCTGAGAAACCGGTGAGTGTGTGTGTTTGTGTGCATGCTGTTTTGACCCTGTGTGCAGCCATGTAGTTTATCATATTTAGGAAAGCTTAACCAAAAAATACTTGAAAATACCAAAATATTTTGATTAAGCAAAAATACAATAATGCATGAAGATGATAAAAAGAGAAAAACACTGCCACTTCCAGAAAGAAAAAGAATTATGAATCCCAATCAGAAAACCTTGACTTTTGTCCATAAATGCAACTCCTCCAGAAATCAATAGGCATTACATGTTTTAACACAAAGCGACAGTTTGTAGACGTATCACATGATAAACACAGTTGAGCTGTGGAAGAGCTGTGGGAGGGCTGAGCGAAGGGAAAAATGAGGTAGAGCAGACTTTGTGTGTGAGCATATGTCTGTGTTGCCAGAAGTGTATATCCTTGTGCTACTATCCAGTTCATGTTTTAGGATAAGGAAAGGGTCTGATTTACATGAAAGTTACATTCAGTATTAGGATTTAGATTGAATCCACTTGATCAACACAATGCCAATGCTGTGTTTAAAAAGCAGAAGAACTAGCTCAACTGTAAGCACCAGAGCTCTCTCTTGACCTTGACAAAACCCCTTAAAGTCTACTTACCAGCTTTTTCTAGAGGCTGATTATTGTCTGGAGATTGCTCATCATGGGAATACTTTTTGCTGACATCCAAACTTAGTAGCTATTATAATTTCATTCATACCAGTCATCCTGTCAGCGTTAGTTAAATTAAAAGATTAGTTTGACAGTTTTGGGAAATAACTTACAAAACCTGAAATTTAAAACTACAACTCAGTGTTTTACAGTAGTATTTCTTGGTGATGAAGGTACAGGTGATGTGATCTTCTTGTGGGCTTAGGTTGTCTGCAATCTCATTGTGATGAAGATTCCAGGAAGTTCCTGGTCCCAGAGAGCATATAATTCTAATGTAATAGCACAACTTTTCTTTTCTTCATTTTAGAATTTGAATAGATTAGACAAATAACCAATGTCCAACATAATTAAATGAGCTTTAGTGGAGCTAGTAGACATATCATCTTTGGACAAAGCCGGGGTCGTGAGTTAGTAAAGTTGTTTGTGGTACAGATTTGTGCACTTTCCACAGGTTTCCAACTATTCTTGTAAGGTCTTGTTTTGCTTTTGTTTTATGTTTAAGTAGAGGTTAAATTGGGATTATTTTCCTAAAAGTCTTATTCGCACAGGACTTCTATGGACCCCTCGTAAGTTGGAAGAATTGTGGAGGTTGTCTGTGATTTTATTCTTGTATGAATCTGCCATGTCAATAATTTGTAAGTAAAAATTCCACTGCAAATTACCTACAATATTTCACCGAACACAGAGGTCCCCAGGAGGCTCATGTCGCTACAAAGCATGAAGACCCATTTACAGAAAAAACAAGCTCAAAGGTATCAGAAGAGCAAAATCTCCAAGGACAATTCGATACATGACATGCACACTCATAAGTTATTATATGAAGGACTATTAATATTTATAAATACAAGTAAAACATAGACTTCACTTATCCCATGTGGATGCACCACACGAGGTCCCCAGGTTGTCAAATGTGAATCTGGCTACAGTAACATTTTTAAGATTTAAAGCTCCTAATGACTCCTGAGCTCCGATCACTGCAGATTGTGGCAACTCCATGTCCATCAACCGTTGAATCTCAGCTTTGGTAAAGCTCTTGTGGGTCAAAGTGTGGTCAAGTTTACTGAGCATGATGGTCTCCAATTCTTTACATCACAGGAAGATTTTAAGTTTTCTCTGGAGCTGTTGTCTGAAAATTTGTATGCCACTTTACAGAAGAAATAAATTTTAAAGATGTTTTCACAGCTGATCAGGTTTATGTTGTCACTGATTTAGGCTGATGGTTAAAGTTAGAGTCGCAGTGAGGGTCAGGGGTGGTAAATAAATTAAATAAACGTTATTAAAGTTAAGTCCTTGCAGGGATACAAGTACAGCAATGACAATTAGTTTGTGATGTTTGTGTGCCAGTGTGTTACTGCATGTATACTCACTTTGGGTGTGGGACAGGAAGCGGTAGAGAGGCGAGAGGTGGCTTGGGCGCGGGGAGACTCAGAAGGCGTGGTGCTGAGAGAGGCAGCATCCCTGGGCAACACCTGCACACCCCGTGAGATAATGGAGTCTGGAATCTGAGATTGCACACGCACAAACACACATGCACACAAACATATGCAGACACACATGCGTATAAACATTACACACACCATAAACCCATAACACACAGTAATATTGAAGTTTCAGAAAGATGTGCATGTATATACGCAATACACATGCCACAAACCTACACACACACACACACACACACACGCACGCACGCACGCACGCACGCACACGCACGCACACGCACACACACACACACACAAATCATCCATGAAAACAACCTATTACAAAATCTCAAAAACTCTAGTTTGTCAGAAACTTGTTATACGGCTGCGATTGCTTACACTACTGACGCAGGTGAAGCGCAGATGACCACATAAACATGACATGACAATGACAAGCAAAGATGGTTTTCAGTGGTGGATTCTTACCAACATCTATCTGTGACTGGACAATGAGGTGGGATGTTACTCAGACAACAGAGCCATAAAGCAGGGTCCAGGCTGCAGACGGGGCAGGACAGGGTGATATGTATGGAGACAAACTTGATGTTACATGTGAATGCACAGAGTATACACATAGATGTATATAGAGGCAGACAGTTGTGATATAATGAAGACGTGGGAAAGGATGAATCCTAATTCATCACATCATTACATGTTTACAGGGCAGTTGCATTAAGACGGTCTTTGATTACTACTTCGTACTTCACATGAACTAGATCAATGTAAATACATCTCAAAAGTGAGATGCCCACGATGTGACAAAACATTAAACTGCAGCTGATAAACTGTGACTGTGTGAGACAGAAATGTTCACAGCTGCTGTTAGATCCTGAATCATTTCTCCAAGTCAGGATAATTTGTAGTTAAACCTAATTGATGAAGTTTCTACTGCTGCTCTGTGCGTGAAGTCCACAAGTGTCTCCAAAAAGAGAAGGAGACGTATCTCTCTCTTGTGGATCCTGTTGCTGTTTGATACTGCAGGTTTGTAATAAACTATGAAGAAAAAGTCTTAAACAGCTGGAAACTAAACTCCTATTCTGTGTTTGACAGCCCATCAGTCTGATGAAGACATGTAGGTCTACACAGTGTGGCCTGCTGCTGGATCCTGGTCCGGACTGACTCTCAGTGATAATTTATGATTCTAACTAATTAGTTACTGGTGATGTTGTTCTGTGTTCTCACAACTCAAATTTCAGCTGCTTGTGTGTTTGTAGCCGTTCATGTGACGTCTGAGTCATACTTGTGCCATGTTAACAGTTGCACAGAAATGGTCCTAGGTCCGACCTAGTAAGATTGCCAGCGCGACTTTACGGATAAGCAACCAGGGTGCGCATTCACAGCTGTTACGATGTTGTCAGAGTAATGGAACAGACTGAATGTGTGAAAGGGGTAAAATAGTATGTAAAGGCAGCCAAGCATTTTGGACATACTGTTAAAGACAATGTTTAGAGATAAACTCAACTTATTTTGATACTTTTTGATTTTTGTACCTTTAACTAGCTATACTGTTAGTCTAAACATCATAGCATACACTGTAAACTCAGAATATCATGAAACTTAGCCATTTACGCTTTGTAGGCAATTCAGAAACAAAGACTTGGACGTAACTTATACTATATTTGAATTCGGTACTTTATAAGAAACATCAAAACGTGTTTCATTTGGGGAAGAGGCAGCAGATGATGGTACCAGGTGGTGGAGCGGTTGTCCTCTGATTGCGAGGTTGGTGGTTTGGTCCCCAGCCCCTCCACAGTTAGTGTCCTTGGGCAAGACAAGTTGCTCCCAATGGCAGGCAGCACCTTGCATGGCAGCTCTGCCATTGGTGTATAAATGTGTGTGATAAGGTGAATGAGAACACATTGTAAAGTGCTTTGAGTACCACCAAGGTAGAAAAGCGCTATATAAGTGCAGACCATTTACCATTTACCATAATTAGTGGGTCAAACATTTAACTTGCACTGTGACATTGTGCACTTTATGTTTCTAAATAGAAGATTTACCCAAAGATTTTAAAGGCATACATGTTTACCCAGTTGGAGCATGTTCAAACCCAATAGGGATCAGCAGTAAAGGCATTGTACTAGGGTGGAAAAGCAAATCATTTAGAAGTGCTATCGTCAGCATTCTGGAAGGATCAATGTTCTATGATTAAAGATCATGACAGCATCTTAGCAGCCTTGATCAGCAGCAATTACGCACAGATACTTTGAATTACAGGTCTGACCTTCAAAATATAGATATTAAAACTACACTTTGTTATCCATAAGGGATTAAGGAGTTTATCAAAAATCCACACCACGGTATTGGCTACTTGACCTCTCTCTGTCTGTTTTTTTGTTTTCGTTTGTCATCCCTTAAGACAGTCATTACATTTATAAGCTATTATGACTCTGTTAAAGTACAACAAAAGGCACCTTTAACAGCTTGCATGAACGGCATGTGTGAACATGTAAAGATGACAGAATCAGAATCGAGAAGACTGCAATTTAATGGAACAAGAAACCCTCCCCTCTCTTCTCCTATTTCCTGGTACCTTGGCGGCAATGGATGCGGCAGTGATATGGGAAGAGGAGCTGTCCTCAGTGGATGCCACACCGCTGTCCTTCTTCTCCTCGTCCTCCTCCTCACATTGCACACCTTTGTCCTCTGTCTGGCGACGCGGCGAACTATTGGGAGGCGGCGAGAGAGGTGGTGGTGGTGAAGGCAGATCCTCCAGCTCATCTGCTGCCTCCTTTACCTTCACCACTGCGTCCCGTAGGAGGTCGATAGCGTGCGGCAGCGCTGGAAGGATGAACTGGAAGCATTCCTGGAGGGGTATAAGAACGGATGTCTTGAGTAAGTATTCAAATAACAGCAGCACCTCAATTAATAGCTGCCAGTATGAACAAAAAAAACAAACAAACTGAGAGTTTGATGTTAAATTCAGCAAGATGTACATTTCCACAGCACCTATTCTGTCAACAAGTCCAGCAACAGATATATGCTATTCTCATAACTCAACAGACATGTAACTTTCACCCCTTAATTGCAAGCTCTCCTACTTCTTCAATTTTTACAGTTGAGCTGCTGTAAATAAACTCATGTGAGAGTGTTCTTAGAGTTAGAGAGAGCCACCTTTAATGCCAAACCGGGAAAAGGAGAGAATGTGTGTTCTGAAATGGTGGAAAGCTTTTGAGAAATCGATGCAAGATCTGAAATAATTAGTGAGTTAAGACATATTTTAGTTCAGGAGATAAAGGCAAGAGAAACAAATTGTTGAGTATAATATGACTTATACAGAATTAGTGCTGTAGAAATTTGAATTATTCTGAATCTATCAAGGCCAGAAACATACACAGAGAGGGTGCTGTGTTTACACAGTAAGAAAGGACGCATCTACAGCACAATAAATGCAAAGAAATCAGAAAACAGCAAAACATAACAAAAAATACAAAACGTTAAAACTACCTAAATGTATAGATAACTGATGCAAAAAGCCTGTTTCTAATATGCAGTTTTTGAGATTTTCCAGTACATCACTACTAACAGGAATATTTGACAAACAGAAGTGTGACCCTCTTTGAGGCCGTTGAATCCGAAACAGAGATTTCCTCTGAAACCTCATCAGAACACATCGCCTCCCCCTGGCCACATTTCTACTAGCTGTTGCTCCCTCCCTCCATCTCTGTTTCCTCTCCGGTGTCTCTCTGTGTGTCAGTGTGCCTGCGGGCTCCTCAGCTATGCTAAATGTTCCATTCTCCTCACTCCCAAGACAAGAGCTAATCTGTGAAATTATTTATCTTCCTGTGTATTTTAGGCATTGAGGAGATACATTATTAATTACCCCCACACTTTACGTCTGATGCGAATGGGTTTTCTTAGCAGCCTTTCTACTCCATGTTCTGTTTTAGTGTGTGCATATTGCAGACTGGATTAAATCTGACAACGTTAACCTTGATTTGACTGAATTTAAATGCCATTAATCCACACCGCAATTTGTGCATGACAGGAATAGCATCCCCAGGACTCCTTAGACTAGTAGATGAAAGAAATTAAAAGAGTTTATCTAAAGTAGTTGACCAGGAGCTCACTGGCCCACTGGCCCCCCAACTTTCTATTTGCAAGCTAACCTTTGCACCCCATATTCCTACTGCCCTTCACACATACATATCTCAAACCCTTCAGCACACAGTAGACTGTTTATGCCTTTTGCTGGTGTGTCTGAAGCCCAAATCTTAGTGTTTTTTGGAAGATGTAGAGAGGAGGCCTGGGTGGGTTGAGTTGCAGTGGGGAAGGACTGGGCAACAAACCTTGTGAGGATGAGGTCAGGCGCCTGGAGACATTCCTTCTTTACTGTTAAGTGCATTGAGTGCGTGCAAGGGACATTTTGTTAGGTACATCAGGTGTGTTTTTTTTTTTTTTCCTGTTCTTATTCTGTTTTGTCCTGGAGGAGAGTAACTGTCAAGAACACTAAAGAGCAGAATCCCTAGATAATACTGCCAATGGATGAGAAACACAAGCAAGAAAGAGGAATGAAGAAAAAGAAGGGAAGGCACTGCTGCTCTGAGAAGGGGATGCAGGAGATGATGAGAGAATGAGAGAGACACACAGAGACAGAGAGTGAAAGAGACAGGGAGGGTGTTATTTTGAGAAATTAAGAGAGACAGAGTAAGAGATAGAGATTCAGTCAGAAAGAGGTGCTGCTTAAAAAAACCAAACAGAACAAAACAGTGAAACAGACAAAAAAGTGAAGTAGATAAGAAACAGTAGGGATAACTGTGTCTCAGGTGGAACGGCGAGTTGTCCACAGGTCGCAAGGTTGGTCATTTGATCCCGTCACATGTCAAAGTGTCTTTGGGCAAGACAAAGAACCTGAACTGCCTCCCAATGGCAGCCAGGCACCTTGCATGGCAGCTCTGTCGCCATTGGTGTGTGAATGTGTGTGTGAATGGATGAATGAGAAACACAATGTGAAGCGCTTTGAGTACCACTAAGGTGGAAAGGTGCCATATAAGTGCATAAGTGTAAGAGATGAATAGTATTAAAGAGAGACAAAAAGAAATGGCCGACGTAGAGATACACCTCAAGCGCTTCTCCAGTACACCTGGCACAAAAGTATAGATGGCACAAATAATGATCTGGATTTTATAACGCACAACTTAGGCCTTTCATTTCCCCTAACTCATTAAAACGAACCCTTAAATGTTTATTTCTGGTTCATTTTAAATTGGTGTATGCCTGAAACAGCTGTTCTGGCTAAGTGTATCTCATTCAGGTTCACGTGCTGACTGACCTAATCACCCTGCATATTCACATGCTCCCACTGGTTTGTTTACATGTGTGAGTCTGACTTTCACTAAGGTTATACCGCTGTCTTACAGTGCCCAAAGTTAAATGCTAATTTAGAAAGTAACTAGAATCCTGACATTTTGCAGCCTTATTGATATGTACATATGGTCTGCCAACCTGCTGCTTTTATAGAACAATACAAACAATACAAACCAGTTATATGATGGTGGTTTGGTTAAAAATGTAAAAACTTTATTCTTTTCCCTAAGTGACTGATTCCCAGCAACGCCAATATTTAGTTTAACGTGCCCTGGCTATTTTCACCTCAACTTTTCCTTTTGGCGCTTTTGGTAGCTGTCCATAAAATCACCAGTTCCAGTCGTAACAAAGAAGCCCCAGAGTATAATACTACCACCACCATGCTTGACAGTAGGTTTGGTGTTCTTGGAATGACAGGCCTCACTGTCTCTGCTCCAAACATATATCTGGTCATTGTGGCCAAATACCTCAATTTGTGTTTCATCTGACCACAGACATTTTCTCCAGGCATTTTCTTTGTCCATGTGATCAGCAGTAAACTTCAGTGGAGCTTTAAGGTGCTGTTTCTGAAGAGAGGGCTTCCTTCTTGTACAGCAGCCTCTGAGTCCATGGTGATGTAAGACACACTTGACTATGGACAGTGACGCCTGTGTTCCCGCAGCATCTGATTCATTGCAGACCTGCTTTTTGGTGATTCTTTGTGGACTCTTGACCATCCTGACCAATTGTCTCTCAGCGGAAGGAGATCGCTTGTGTTTTCTTCCTGATGTTGACAGTGACATAACTGTACCATGTACTTTATACTTACAAACAATGGTTTGGTCAGATGATTTTAGGATCTGAAGCGGCTTTGAAATGGGTCCAAGGGACTTTTCTGACTTGTTCAAGTTTATGATTTCCTTTTTCAGATCTTTGCTGAGTTCCTCAGACATTCCCACTGTAGAGTGTGTGTCTGAGTCTAATGAATGTATAAATTGTGCCCTATTTAAATTAGCTCAGAGGAGTCAGAAGCTGTAGTCAATTGTAATCACTCACAAGAAGTTAGGAAGCCATGCCACTAAGGAAAGTTTGATTAACCACTTTCTACATCACCAAAACTGATCATTAAAGTTCTTGTGTAATTTTCACCTGACCATTTTATCACACTTTCCTCATTGCTCGTGTTATATAGAATAGTGTTTCCTCAGTTCTTCAATCTGTGTGTTTTAGAGTTCTTTATTGAAAACTTGACTGTTGGGTTGGGAATGGGGTGGGGCTTGTTTGTTTTGTCTTATTGCATTTGTATTGGATAAGCATTATGTGCTACTTTTCTGTTTGTATAAAAAGTGCTATCTAAACAAAATCTGATTGATTGATGTATATATGCAAGAACATATTGGCACACATGCACTCGCACACACACACACACACACACACACGTATGCTGTATGTATATCTTTGTCTATACCAAAGCACAGAAATAGAATAAAACACCAATGTGCCACAAAACACAAACACAAAACCACACACATACAGTATCTGTATGCACAGACACAGTTAATTAAGCATTCAAAAATTCCATTGCACACCCACAGGAGTTATACCTTCAAATTTCAACTTTCAACTTCAAGTCTGAGTTCATTCTCCATGCCAGGTGAATCTGTTTCTTACTCTTTGTTTGTACTGCAGCCTCTACCTACTTCTAAACTAAGGAAGAAGCTGATGTTGTTACAGATGTCTGCCATGTTTCCTACCTGGGAACCTTTCTTACTTCCTGGTAAGTTAATGATGAGTGTCTTCCCTCGAATACCACACACAGGTCTATAAACAAACAAACAGAGGAAATTTAAATCAAACAGTGGAAGAAGTGCAATAGTGCGAGAATTGTACCTGATGATGGTGAAAACCTTACTTCAGTGTATGAGGCGATAAATATGAGATGGTGTCCTCATAAACCAACATAACAGTACCGCACTGTACATTGTTTATATTTAGAGGCTTCATTGGAATAAAAGCTGCCTCACTGCCCACCTCAGTAATACAGTAATTATAATGTCAGGTTACAGGACATTTAATTGCTACCCCTCTTCAGATACAACTGTCTACAAACAACTTTAAAACAATGTATATTATTTCTGTCAATTGTACATTCCTGTTAAAATAAACGACTAAATAACAAATTAAATAAAAAAGTAAGTGCATTTTGATTGTGTATGTGCATATAAGAGTGTGCATCTGACCTGGAAAGCATGCCTAATGGTGTAACGTTGAGTGATCCCATCAACATTGCCAGAGACATTCCTGGAGCCTCGCGCTCTATCACCTCCTTTGTGGCCTGGAGAGAAGAGATAGAGAGAGAGAGGTGACCGTGGTCTAACCAAGCATGCAAGCCATGCTATGTCAACTAAAAGCATTGTTGTTGTTCCTCCTCTAAGAAAAATGTAGTGCTGTTCAACACAAGTCATCACATTTAAACAAGAAGAAGAGTTTCTATGCTGTAAAGACTTTAGTCATGTTATTCTGAACTTACATCTGCCTTTGAAGACATTTCTAATAGAGACTACAGAAGACAGGAACAGATAAAACCGCTACATAGGGTAGCTCAGATTTCAGAGAGTTGTACATACATTTTTAACTTGTTTCATTATGCTGTTTGTGACACTTAACAACTAAAATATAACAAAGACGTCACAACATAAACACTGGTGAAGATTGTTACACTACACATGTTGGCACAAGAAAAAAAGCAATGGGATGTTAAAATTTAAAGGAAAATTCAAAAATCTGATGGATGGAAAAGCGCAGCAGTGTGCTATGAGGCAGATATGACTACTTTAGGAAATATGCTTTGCATAGCATCTGTTGTTGCCCCTGAATGTACAGAAGACTGTGCAAACCAAAAAAAAGGCTGTATGTATGGTGAAAAAAGATCTTTACCATTTAAGGCATTACTTTAAAGAGACTGTATACAACATTCAGAACCACTGGATGTCGCTAGAGCACGAGTATATTGGACCAAAACAAATGGGTGCATCAGCCACACCTACCCCATCTCTCACACTTACAACTAGAAAGGTTGTGTACATGAGAGCAAACAAAAAAACATTCAATCAAGTATTAGAAAAGACAGTGAAGGAGCAGCAGTCAACTTGAGTAATGCTATTCTCTTTTTGTCTGCTTCGTTCTGCACGTCTGTTCTGCTCGCTTCCTGTGTGTGTCTGCTTTCACTGTGTGGAAACAAACACAAACACACACACAGGCTGCAGCGGAACATAATGGAGTGAAGGAGAAGCAAATGAGAGTGACAAGACAGGAGGAGGGACTTTTACTCTAAGCTGAAAAATAATAAAAGAAGAAAAGACCAGATAAAACTTTATTTGTGCCAGATGCTGCTCAGAAACCAACAATACCATGAGAATAAATGCAGTGCCCAAAAGAATAGTAGTAGAACACAAGTACAATGCATTACTGAAAATAAAAACTAGGTAAAATAAAACTAGAATAGAGAATCAGGAAGTAACACTGTCAATGTAACTGAAGTGATGAAGCAGAATTGCACATTGTGATGGAATACAGCACATGTAACTGAAATATTGCACGACACTGAAACTGATATTTACTTTTGCTATTTAAAAAGGAGTATTGCAAATGACATTGATATTATTTTTCATTGTGAAGTGATTTTTTTAGCTGTCATATGAAACAAATGCACATAAATCAATTAAACAGAGTAAATAAAACCCATATTGTTTAAACTCTTTTTTTTTTTGTGGCGAATTGTACTTTCGCTTTTACGCTCAAGTTGTTAAAAACGCAAATGCACAGTTTCAAAGGGAGGGAGTCCCTTGCACTAACATGCACTAACATGCACATGCTACCAATAAACAGAACTAAGAAGCTTGGTTTACACACTGAGGAAGTATGACTTCATTTTCTGCTAAGGACGTCATTACTACACCACATCATTACATAAATAGTTGTTTTCTGCAATTTTCATGTGACAGTTTTGTTTAAAACCTTGTCTTATAATGTCATATTGCACCTTTAAGATATTTGATTACATTTTCTTTGTGCGTATAGATTTTAAGGAATTAAGTTGATGAAGCACGTCCTGATAGATAACAAAGAAGACAGTGCCTTCTTTTGCAGCTGTGTGTGTGTTGGGTGCCCTTGAGTTGAGTGGCACTTCAAATGCACCATTAGCGAGGGAGAGGGTAGAGAAAAGACTTCAAAGGAGAGGAGCCACTGATGAGAATCTTGGGCTTGGACTCAAGAGAGCAGAAGGAAAGAGGGAGGGAAGAGAGATGGTTGAGAATATGGGAGGTAACTATAGAGGGGTTAAGGAGAAACAAGAGGGAAGCAGGGACACAGAGGGAAGGGTGAGGCTGAATTTATGCTTCATTGTTTACACCATGCAAAGTCACTGACTAGAAGAAGTCAGTTATGGGTTTGTTTGACTCGATAGTTATTTGTCTTCAGATAAAGCACAATATTTATGATTTGGGCAATTTGTTTCTCTACATACAGAAAAAGATAATTGGTGACATTTTTGGATATTGTTTGAGTAAGACAATGGATCAGTCAGGCCAGGAGAAGGACTCTCAGAAGGTGTGTAATTAAATGTTGCTACATGAGATCCTAAAAATACCTCCTCTGGTCAAGTATAGCATTTAAATGCAAAGTGATGATGCTTGTAATGTTTCTAAACATGCCTTCTGTCCATCCATCCATCCATCAGTCTATTTTCTTACACATATCAGGTACATTCAAATAAAAATAAAATATCAAATGGCTCCATTTGAGGTCTTAAGTGGCAAATAAAAAGGGATTTTTTTAGAATAATACTTATTTAAAGGATCGATGTCTTGGTTATTTCTTTAGTCCTGGTAAATACTGGAGCAGATAAGACCCATAAAGCGTGCTTCTTCATGCCATGGGCTAGTGGCCAGAAATCAGTGATCCTATATGAAGAAAGCAACTATCTGAACATACATCACTTTTATAGGTTAATATAGAATTGACGCATCAGTGTATAACCACAACAAAATAACATTTCTGTAGCAGCTACAGAAACTGAATGACATTTTTTTCCCCCTTCATTGTGGTACTACATTACAGTCACTGACACAGTTCACTAGCCCATTATCTTTGCACCAAAATATCTGGGACAAGTACAAAAAAACATATATCTAAAAAATATGTACGTGGTAAAAGGGAAATATAACATATTTTTTTTACTAGCTACTACTACTTGATAGCAGTCAGAATGCTGGCAACCAATAAGATGTTAACAAAAAGTTTGGTAACTTTGTTACAGTACTTGCGTACTACATGTAACTGTTAAATTTGAGCTTTATGTTTCCCTGCGAATACAATGAAATTAGCAAGACCACCATGTTTGAAAACCAAATGCGCCCCTTCAGGTTTGTATGTGATAATATTGAGGGTGACAATCAATGCAAGCAACCAGTGTATGAAATAAGAAGAGATTCAATTGCATAGACTGACCAAGAATAAGATATATTCCCTTGGCGATTTAAAAGATTAAATCATTATTGACCGCTAATGTAGATTAGTGTCGATGCAGAGGAGATAGGTCGGATAATAAAAAAAATAAAATTAAGAAATACAGTAACATTTAGTGCATAACAAAAAATAAGACAAGTCAGGGTAACATAACGTTCACATTTGCACAGAATAGAACATCAAACATATACATCTTTGATTAAGTAATGACATAAAGTGTAATTAGTTACTCTTGTCCTGCTTATAGCCATAACAATACAATAACATAGTCTTGTACAGCCATCAAACACACGAACACAGACGGAGAGATATCGCTGTCTCGAGCATACAGAGTTGAATTAGATAGATAGCAGGTATTATCAGTGACTACAGCATGTGCGTGTCTTCCCTCTTCCAGGAAGGTTGCTGCTGTCTGCCATGATTGATGGGAACCAATGATACTGCTGAGAACCACAGCTCATCGCTGTGTGTGAGTGTGTGAGGATCATTGCCGATTGAGTACATGTAACAGAAGTACAGCAGTTTCAATGCAAATAATATAAACTGGAGCTATGGGTTTCACAGCTGTGTAAGTCATGATGGGCAAAAAAAAGATGAGAAAGAGAAAAACCATTTGTAGTAGTGTAATAGTGTCTTCTGACCTGAATATATACAGACTTACAATATGTGTAAATTTGATAAAGATATGATATCGTTCAAGATAGAACTGTGTACACAACTTTCATAACCCTTGGGCAGAAATGTGAAATATATTGTCATACATAACTACTGTGGATCTGTGTCAAGACACCATTTCTGTACCTTAATAGTGTCCACATTTGAAAACCCCTATGACCTTCTGCTCCATAGTCTATCTTTCATCAGCAATAAAAGGTGACCTGAAAGGGAATAAGGATCTAGCATCTGCTTTTTTATTTTTAATTACACTGTATGTTAATCAGTGCTGTCATCAGCAAAAACAGGAGATTTTTTTTCAAATAAAGCACATGCAGCAACGGATTACATCTGCCTTTTATAATCGCCTCCCTCGAACACAATTAAGTTCTTCTACATTCTGTATTAGTGGTTGTCAAACTTGTATTACAGGAGTTTACCTTACTATCATTACATGACCTCTTACATACAACATGTGTTGATACTTCTCTCCAATAGTTAAACAGCATTGATATTTTACCACAAGTTGTCATACCTCACTCTTATTGTACAAAGGTGTATTTTAATACACACATCAGCCTAATCTTACAGGTTGCATATGAAGAGTTCATTTGCAAAAACAGATAACTCCATTTTTGTAGATTTTCAGAAAACTTTTTTTTTGTTTGTTTGCTTGAGATAATATCATTCAAACTGAAGTTTCATGGATTTGACTAAGTAGAAATGACATGACAAAAATTGAGATAACTTAAGTTTGGTTGATATTGTCTCAGGTAGACGATGGAACAGTGGGTTTTCTGAAGGTTTGTGAAAATGGAGTTATGTGTTTTTGCAAATCTCTTCATATATATATATATATATGCATATAAATATTGCTTAATGTGATTAATGTGCTTCACACTTTCCAAAACGTCTCCACTCAGTGTTAGCTAAATTCAGTCCGTTAAATTTTATCCAGTGTAACTGAAGACTACAATATTGTATGTCATGATATGTCAAACAAACACTAAATGATAAAATATGGTGTTACAAAGTGGTGTTGATGCATTGATGCATGGAGGACACACTTAAACTAACATGTAAACTAACCTCTGGTGTGACATCTCTCGGGGCGAAGCCAGTGCCTCCAGTGGTGAGGATGAGGTTGAGTTCCTTTTCGTCACACCAGTCCACCAGTGTCTCCTATCAATGAAAACAAATATGAGCATGCAAAATTGTTTACTATGAAATTCCCCACTGTAGCTAAAGAGAAACTGACACTGCTGATGAATACAGCATGTAGACAGATGGTACCTTACCTTAATTTCATCTATCTCATCTGGCACAATCTTGTAGGCTGCAATCATACCTCCCAACCTGAGAGAGGAAGAAATGATCATTAGATCACAATGAAATCATCCATATCTTAGATTATATGATAATTTATGGACCCCTGAAAGGAAATCAGACTGCAGATCTCACCACTGAGGTCAAAAAGGTCAGCTAAAGAATGGTAGATGTGGTAGATGATCAGAATTGGATATTCTTACAACCTCATAGCAGTAGGTGAGAAGTTAAACCCAAGATGAGCAACTGAAGGACATTCTCTCTTCTCTCAGTACAAACCACCCTGCTGTCACAAGTGTAGAGTCCTGGCAGACCAGCACGTTATGGTGCAGATTGGGGATACAGTGGGCTCATCTATGTATTTCTGAAAGTCATAAAGCTAAAAATATTCCTCCAAGAAAGAGACCAGCATCCCAAAGCTTGTAAAAATGACTGCTTTTTTGATTGACACATTCTCTATCCTTCAGAGTTTTTTTTTTTTTACACAACCAATAAGACTCAAAGAAACTGAAAACTTTTATATCACATTAAAGACAAGGCTGGCCAGTTAAGCTACTGATAGGCAGAATATAGCATAGTACAGATGACAGAAAAAAATGTGAGACAAGTGTGAGAAAAATAGAGAAAGTACATAAAGTCAAATAAGACCGAAACAGAAGCAGGAAGGAGCGACAGACAGAAATACAGCAGCAAAACTGAGGAGAAAGAGAATGCCCTTGAACATCCCCTCCTGAAAGGATTTTCCAAAGGATGGCCCATTGAGGAGGGAGCTCTGACAAGGACGGAGCTGCTCCTGCTTGAACAACGAGCCACGGCGACCTCCTGTGGCCAACCACAGTGTGGCAACGGAAAAAACAACAACCCCAGGCTCAAGGTGAAGGCTCTGCACAGACACCCCTTATGTAACCCTTTTCTTTTTTTAAAGAGTGCTATTTTTGGGAGACTACTGCATCATATTTCCCCCTCGCGTCAGCCACTTAAAAACCATGATACCCTTCCACAGACAAAAACCCATGAACTCTGTAAACATTAAAACATTACTATTTTTCGATCTTTCAGATACTTTTACCTACATGGCGACTCTAGCTCTTCACACACTAATCTACAAATTGTGCAGCAGAGACAGGCTAAGCAAAACAACACCGAAATACTGCGGCAAGAGCGCATGAAGACAAAGTATGAAGCTCAGAGGGAAGCTGTTTGGTGCTGACAAAAGATGCAGAGAAGTCAGAGAGAATCATTTACAAAATACTTTTTCATGAAACACTGCACATGTAGGGACACTCAGTGCATCCACTAACTTGTGCATCCAGACACACACACACACACACACACACACACATACACACACACACACACACACAACTTCCCTGCTGACAATCCTGTGATGGCACGTGTGATTTACTTTGTTGATGTGCTGAGAAAGGAGGGGTTTTTTGGCATTTCTGAATGCCTCTGTGTGTGTGTATGTGAGATTGTGTTTATATGTGTTCATGCATGTGCACTCGTCGGTTTATGTGTTTGTGAGTGTGTGTCTGTGTTACACCTCAGGAGAGTAAAGGAGCTGTCAGGACAAATCACCTCTCTCGCTCTCCTGGGGTTTTTATGCCTCTCTGTTTCAGCCCAAATGAAAATATGCTCAACACAAATAACTAGGGTTCCTTCCCACCGTTTCCTAGGCAACCCCTCCTGTCTAAAGCCTCTAGTTACTGTTTTGTTCATCGTGAGAGAGAGTGTGAGAGTTTGTGTGTGCCAGTGAATGTAACTATCAGAGATGCCATTTCTCAGCAAAGGCAGCAATACATTGTTGACTAGAAATGCTTGAGCCTGTGTAGATGTATGTAATTACACGCTCAATTAACAAATTTTAAGTAATGTTCTGATTTGTGTATTCTAATGTGCTTGTAGCTGCATGTCATAAAAACTGTTTAGCCACCTAAAAGTGTATATGTGCTTGTTAGCATATATACGAATGTCTCCAAATATATGTGTACAGAGGTGTACAGTAGGCTGCATTTATCATACATTATGTTTGCAGTGCCACATGTTGTGTATTCCAATAAACACTTTAATGTAAACGGGATATGGTTAAAACTCCCAACTCGCCCATGTGGGCAGTCTAATGACAACATCCAGCTCGGGTCTTCTACCAGAGGCCTGGAGGCCTGAGGGTTCTGCACAGTGTCTTAGTTGTTCTGAGGGCTGCACTCTTCTGGACAGAGATCTCAGATGTTGTTCCAGGGATTTGATGAAGGTCCTCTCTCAGTTTAGGGGTTTGGTGCTTCTAACACCACTGGTACTACTGCTACCTTCACTTTGCAGATCTTTTCTTGCTCCTTTCTCAGCCCTTGGTATTTTTTGAGCTTCTCATGTTCCTTCTTCTTAATGTTGCTGTCATTTGGGATTGCTAAATCTATCACTACTGTCTTCTTCTGGTGTTTATTGACCACCACAATGTCTGGTTGGTTAGGCCCCACAAGTTTATCAGTCTGGATTTGGAAGACCCACACAATCTTGGCTATTACCTTTGCACGTGTCTTCCATTCTGATCCTGATATATTCCTGGATCTTAGTTGTTTCATCCTGGACAGTGGCTCTGACACTCACTTGTCCTTGGCCTCTCTCCTTCCGCTTCGTGTACAGTCTCACGGTGTTGGACTCCCTCCATGCATTATGGGGAGCTTTCTTGTCTTGATATCAGTGGCCTCTATCTCTTCCTTTTGCCAGGTTATTATACCAGCAGCAGAGCATGTGTGTTGATGGCTTATATCACATTCTGTCCATTCAGCTGACTTTCTGGGACCTGCAGCACTCTATGTAGGTATTTGTTTGTGTCTGACTTCCTTGTATTCATCTCATGGTTTCCACTTGCCTGTGGGACTCCAAGGTATTTGTAGTTGTCGTGAACATCTGCTTTGTTGGCTTCTGGTACTTCAACCTCTTCAGTAGTGATCATCTTACCCCTCTTTAATATCATCCGACCACACTTATCCAGCCTGAATGACATTTCAGTGTTGTTGCTGTAGGTCTGGTGACATGGATCAGTGAGTCAGTGTCTCACTCATTTCTGGCATACAGCTTGATGTCATCCATGTAGAGGAGGTGGCTGATGGTCCATCTATTTTGGAACTAGTATCCAAAGACCCTTGGTTTTTTAGTCTTATAGTCTTGAGTGAGTGTTCTGCCACTCAGTAGCTGGTGCTTGGCTGGTGTTGCTTACTCCTGCCTGGGACCTGCTCATATATTGAGCCATGTAACCCACATATTTTAGCCCGATGATGCCTGATAGTAGCTTCTGTGCTGTGCAGAGGTCAGTTACTGTCTGTCAGTTACATGGGATTCCTCCCTTCTGGAGATCCTTCATTGTCTGGGATAAACACTCTGAGTGGGTCCCATCCATTAGCACCTGGTTTACTTGTGCTGCTCCATCATGTCGGGGACCTGGTGCTGTCCAGGTCTTCATTCTTGACACTCTTTCTTGGATGTCTGCTGTTGTGATGCTCACTGGGTCTTGTTCTGGGAGATTTCTTTGGTCTGCTCTCAGGTCTATCAGCCACAGCATTAGTGTAATGCAAAGTCTCCTTCTCATATATACCTTTGCAGTACTTTTAAGTCTCCAACTGAATATACACTTTGGGCAGTTTGATGACGAACGTTGTACCTCTCTGTCTGGCTTCTACTTCTCTAGTGTACCTCTTCAGACAGGTGGTCAGGGCTGTTATCCTTTGTTTGGCAGTCTCTAGCGCCTCAGGAAAAGATATGTTGTTGTGTTTCCAAGGTAGTCCTTTCTTCATCACACCTTTATGTAGCTGTGATAGCTGGATAACTTCCCACCTTGTTGCATTGCTCTTGACCTCCAGCCTCCTTCTCCATCTCAGGAAACTGCTTCTTATGGCTTTTGGTGTTCATCTTGTAACAAAGCATCCCTAGGACTACTACTGCTGATATGTATATCAGCCTGTTTGTCTGAGTGATGGTTCCAGTAGGGACAGTTAGTTGAGCTACATTCGCATCTTCAAGCAGACTTTCCATAGGTGTTTTTTCACTTAGTCTGGTTGGGTCTTGGTGTCAGGATCCGTGCACCTGCCCTGATTTCCTGGCAGCCTCTCCTCCTCCTTTTCCTCTCTCCCTAAGTGTGTGTGTTATTAAGCCCCTCCCTAATCACTAGAAAGTGACGAAACCAGTGCAGGGCCTGCCTCATGTGCCTCCAATCAGCACTGCACTGCACAAAGCTCCGACTCAGACATTCATTCAGTGCCAGGTCATCAATTTTGACATGCTTTACCAGTACTCCTGCATTACCCAATGACACACCTGCTGTCAATCTGGACCTTGTTCCACCTCTGACCCCCTTTCCTTGGAATTGCAGTCTGCCTTTGAGCCTAGAATCCTCCAAGCCTCGCTCCCACATTCTACATCCGTCCTCTGACTCTCCCTACCTCTGACTGCTAGCTAAGTAGAGTTGCTCTTTCTATGCTCTCGATCATGTCAGCATGAACCAGTTACTATCTCTTGTTTTCCTAGTAGTGTGAACTTGCTTCATGCATTTTCGGAATGTGTAACATTGCGCTGTCACACATTCAGTTCCATGTTTTCTGTAACTGTGCTTGTGCACTCTGTTCTTGTGTAGCGTTACACTGCCTTCAGTTCCTGGTTTTCTGGTAATGTCATTTTGTCCGTATATCCCAACTACTGTCCCTTACCTTGCAGTACTCGGTCTTGGTCAGTAGCCCCTCTCAATTTAATATGTTTGCATTTCATCTGTATTGTTAGCTATTTTTCCGTAGTAGTAATTCTGTATTCAGCCTGCATAGTTCTTCTTTTGTTCCTGTAGCTTCAGTATTTCCGGATTACTCAATCTTACCTTGGTTATATGATTCCCTGGTCTTCTCTTGAGTTCGCAAACATACCTTGGTTAATTTTTTGTAAAACTTAGTAATCGTCAACTCAGTTCCCATTAATCTCCCCTTCTTAGTTTTCCTTCCCTGTCCCTTCCTTTCCCTGTTAGTTTAGTTTTAAACCCCTTGCGC